ACTGCAATAATATTTAGTTGCAGTAAATTCTTCAGTTTAGAGCCAGCATAAATATCCAAAGTATACAGTCTTCCTCCATAAAATGGATGGGCTATCACATGCACTGCAGCTATACTGGTTCTGCTGTACAATGTGACTCCTTGAACGTGGAAACCACCCCAAATCTCTTACGTCAAAGCTGTTAAGGGTAGGCACTTCCAGAATTTCAAGTGCAGATACAACTACTAAAGTATGCTTTTGGGTGGATGTTTCATTGCTACTAAACCATCACAAAGTCAACAGTGCTTTCACACAGCCAGCTGCTTCTCTCACTTCACACCAGACATACTCTCAAAAACACTCTTAAAACTTTTGCCAGAAAGACGACTCCCACTAACAACAAACAGATGTTGCTATTTGGCTTGCCCACATTAAAACTTGAATCATACTATCAACAGAAACCTATTAAAAATGTTTGTCCAGCATAGCTGTGTTAAGCACAATACTTAATTACCTAAAAATACTCCTGATACTACAGTACTTTGAAGCATGCTAGTGAATATCCTCCCCCCCTTCAACTTGACTACTATAAGGAATTGTGTGGCTGGTTAACTGAGAATACAATAGTCTTGTATTTGGACAGACACCATCCTGCAACAGCGGTCGTTTGGAATTGATCACACTTTAAATCAGGCTTCCCAGATAAGACCTGGCTCTCTCAAAACCAGTTTGTACTAAAGCTCGTTTATCCAAGCTGTTCAAAGATTCAGATCCGGAAAGGTATAATTTCAGTTCAGCCTGCAGCATGCTGTAGGAGCCGCACACTAGGTGCTGGAATGTTTGTACAAACACTTAAGAGGAGTATTTCTGTTCTTATGCACAACATCAGCATGCAGAAGACAATTTAGGCAGCATGGGTGAGATCACTTCGCAGTGGTTCAGTTTATTCAATCCACAGAAGACCCAACCTTTTATGCCCGGAAATTACTAATCCACCCCACACATCCACCAGTAAGTACATACATACAGTTCCACTGGGTTTCATCCCATCACCAGCCTGGTTCCACATTTATTATGTATGAATCTGCCTAGGCAGGCTACCTTTTGGGCTAAATTTGGATTCTGTAGTTACATTGTTCTCCTAACACCAACCTGAACGGAGATCATGTCTGAGAACCAGCAACTACAGGCTCAGGTGAATGAAACTGCAAGGTGGAAAAAGCACAGAGTAACTCCTGGAAGTTTGCAAACCTACTCTTCATCGGCTTACTAATTCAAGATCTTATTAAATATCACTGCTTGGAGACTGCCCAGGGATAGCAATGACTCAAAGTACTCCCTCCCTTTAAAGTTCTGGCGCTTGACCCAGTTCTTACGAAAAAAAATAGGACATCAATTGAATTCCTAACCTTACATTTCAGCTCGCTAGCAACAGGATGCTTGTGGCTCTCAGAAAGCTTTGGCTCTCTAAAACGTAATAATGCAGCTTGTCGGATGAGCAACTGCTACTTCCAACAGCCCTGCTGGTAAGCTTAACTGGGCCTCTCACACGTGCAGTTTCCACGATAGCAATGGGATCCTCATGTGCTGAAGTGCCACGTCCTTGGCAGCAGCGTGGCAGCAGTTCCTTTCTCTCCAGACAGCTTGGATTTTCTTCAGAGACACTCCCCAGTAGCTCTTTCGGTTGCCACAAACTTGGGACCTTTTTGAAGTGTGGGAATCAACCATGGGTCAGGCTGATTGGGTGCTACCTAACCCACTTCTGCTTAGTGATGAAGAGAATACCCCACCACAAGCCCTGTTCGGAAGGCAATTTAGGCCTTTAAGAATGAAATTTTAATTTTTTGCTGGTTTATTCGGTAGCAATGTATTTTCATTAACCACCCTTAAGAACAATTCACCAACATCTGAAAAGCCTGCCCTTTATATTTTTATGACTGAGGAGTTACGCATGTCCCACAAAACTGAAGTTACTATGAAGGCTACTCAGTGCTCCTTGGAAATGTGATTTTGAAACACTTACTTCCTTCCAGGTTTTTTTTGTAAGGGTACAATTTTGGCAAAGTGTAACGGCTGTTTGAGAGCTGATGGCACAGCTTTTCTGCTGCATGGAAAGAGGCCTATCAGAAACTTAATTGTAGCCAAGTAATTTTCAGCCTAGTTTTCATCCATGTCCCAAACATTACATTTACCCGGTACCTGCTTTAAATCATACTGGCTTGGCCCTCTGCTATCTGAGAACAGCCAGTCTAATGCTGCTTCGAAGACCTCAGCCTCTACAGTAACCAACCTGAAATACTAAGACTCTGGTCCTTTGGGTGATGAGACATTTTGAATCCACGTTTAATTCCGTTAAGCCTGTAGGTATACATACACTGTTGCATCTTCATTGCTTTTTCTTTCATGCATTACTAAAGACAAAATTGGATTGCCGCTTACATTCATCTACTGAAAATTTGTTTCTGAATACTTAAATCGGAATAGACTGTTGTTTCCTCCACCAATGTATTCTTTGCCTGCTTACTTGGCCACTTCACAAGGGGTATAATCCAATCTTCCAGATCATTTCACAGGTGCTTTGATCTGGTGCCTAAATTTACGGTAAAAGAAAAGAATGCTGCTCTCCGAGATGTACAGCACACATCACTCTTAGCTTTAGAATGCAGCTAATGGTCCTTCCTCTGCCTGCTGAGCCGTAATTTCCTCCTTTTTTCTAACAGCTGTGACTTTGGGTATTTGAGACATAACCTTGATTCTCCTGCACATACGAGGTTGCTTTGTTAATGACCAGAGAATGTTTGGCGTGCCAGAAGTCATCCTCAAATACTGTAGCCTCCAAGGACAGGATGCTAGTCAATACAGTAACTTTAAAAAAAAGCTCTGACTCACCCTTGCTTCTCTGTCAAACTCAGCTGAGAGCATTTTATTTCCCCAGTGCTTCCTCTAATTTGGAGCACGACAACAATACCACAGATGGGCCAATGCGTATTGTCTACTGACCTTATTTTTAATGCAACTATTCTGGGATTGTTATAGTAAGACTTTTTTTTTTTTCATTTATACAAGATGAGAAATGGAATATCGCAAAGAGCACCAGGAAAACAGCCCTTGGCCTTGCAATCACAGGTGATTAATCTTTCCTTTCAGACATGCTTGTCTGTGCTGGCTTACTGCAACCTACGTGCTCTGCAATACGCTTGGAAACCTCAGAGAGCACTGCAGGCACTGCCAATTCCGAAGCAGGTCTGGCCAACGTCAGCATAAAACACCCTGCCTCAGTGCAGTTAACCTCAGCTATCGAAGCGCTGCATTGCCCAGAACACCTACTTCAGAGCATGCCCTTGTCTCCAGGTCTCACCACAGATGCTGCACGGTTTCGCGGCCTAACCACAAGCGCAAACTTCTGCCGCACCGTCAGGCACTCTTGATAACGGACCTTGGAAGTAGTCTGGTTCCATCTCTAGCCAGAATTAAGTCATACAACTAAAGCAAGGCGCTGAAGCACCACCTCCTTTCCTGTAACTGTGCGGAAAAGCAGAAACAAATCCCCCGCGGATACCACTTCCCGGGGGGAGGATCTGTTACAGCCTGGGTGCACCTCCGTACTGAAAAACCTTCTGCCAGCTGGGCGGCAGGGGCCCGGCAAAGCA